TTCCAGTGGGGGGGCCCAGCCGGGGCGGGGGCCGGGATTCAGCCAGCCCTGACCAGGCAGTTTCCATCCGTCCCTCTGGGGTCCCGGCCCAGGGAGAGGGGGGCAGATTCCCAGTGTCAGGGCCCCTCTGACCCCTTCTCTCTGCCACGGCCCCTCCCTGCCGGGGAGTGAGCTGCCCCTTGGGCTGGGCCGAGACCTCAGGGCTGCTCCCCACTCAGAGCCGGGTGCCCCTGGAGGCAGGAGAGTCCCTGAGTCACTGCCCAGCTGGAGCAGATTCTGTCCCTGACGCCATCGACCCCCCAGGGCCGAGCTCTGCCCCTCACGCTCTGATTCTCCCCCAGCCAACGTGACTCTGGATCCAGACACGGCACTTCCCCAGCTCATCCTGTTGGAGGATGGGAAACATGTGAGACTGGGAAGCACCCGGCAGCCACTGCCCGACAACCCGGAGAGATTTGACTCTGTGCCCTGTGTGCTGGGCCGAGAGGGCTTCCGCTCGGGGAGACATTACTGGGAGGTGGAGGTGGGGGATGGGCGAGGCTGGGCTGTGGGGGTGGCCAGAGAGTCTGTGCACAGGAAGGGATGGATTAACCTGAGCCCCAAGAGCGGGTTTTGGGCTGTGGGGCGATATAAGGATCAGTTCGGGGCTCTCACTTACCCTGAGGACACCTCCCTGCCTCTGAGCCCCCCCAGCAGGATCCGGGTTTGTCTGGACTGTGACCGGGGGCAGGTGACATTTATCGATGCTGGAACTGAGGCCTCGATCTTCACTTTCCCGCCGGGCTCCCTCCCCGGGGAGAGAATCCGACCCTGGATCATGGTGGGGGTGGACGCAGACGACTGGCTCCGACTGTGTCCCTGACACCAGCCCCTCTAGCTTCACACACCCCAGTCTCTGTGACCCTAGAGGACTCCCCTATATTCTGCTCTGGCTCCTCATCTCTATGTCCCCAGAAGCTCCTGCCCCTTCCTTCAGATCCAGAGAAGCAAGGTGGAAGAAACCTATTGCAGCCCCAGGGAGCAGACAAGCCCTGAGGGGCAGAGGTGGGGGCTGGGCAGACAGAACTAATAGCTGGGCTGGGGCCAGGCAAAGATGGGGGCTGGGCAGGGACAGAGCTAACAGATGTCCCCCCAGCACCTGCATCTGACTCTGGGCCCAATGGGAGGAGCAGAGCCCAGCACCAGGCCGACGACATGACATTTGAGAGTCTAGGCACAGCCCTATGTCGGTGTCTCCCCAACGGGCACCAGGGGGAGAGGCTGGGATGCCTGGCAGGAGATGTGGCCACATTCTGTGCAGTGGTGACATGTCCCAGCCGCCAGCTGCCAGTGCAGAGGAGCCAACGGGTCACAAGAGGGCGCTGTGAGCCGGTTGATCAGTCCGTATCACAATATGCGTTTGGTTCAGCATTCACAGAACAAAAGAGTCTTCCCCAGTATCTCAAACATCCCTGTAACAAGTTTTATTGCACTCAGTTCAGGAGCAGTTTGAAAAGCTCTATATGTATGTGTATATTTAGTACTAAGCAATTAAACCAATATGAAAAGACATTAAAAGGCATTAAATGCAATATTTAAATGGAATAATTAACAATCTACATGTTAATCCTTAACTCAATTTAGCAGCCTAATTCTTAATCCAATTAAACACCCTCACACTCACACGCACTTACCCTCTGGGGCTGGCCAGACCCCGGGTAATCTTGGTTAATTTGGTTGAGGCGGAGGTCCAACGTGCACGTCACCCCAATATGCCGAATTGATGGACTCCGACTCATGGTGGGAAATGGCGTGGTATATATCCCCCCAGCAGGGACCAGGCCAGTGAGATGCCTTCTACTGGTTGCTCACAGTCCAGGTGGGGTGATGTCCGTTAGTGACACCCCCTTCTTTTTACTGGTGTGTCTACGACTGATCCAGAAATATCCGTTTTTTCACCACTTGCCTCACCATGAGTGAGAAACAATGGTTTGTCCTTGGGTAGATTCTTCCCTTGTTACTTTTTCTTATCTGGCAGTGCTGGAAATGCAGCTTCGGCCACATACACAGAGTTCTTTTATCTCACACAGTCCTTCTTCTTAAAGTTGTAAACACGTCCATAAACCTCTGGGGTTTTTCCCAGGACCAAACCAGTCCATAATCCTCCGGGGCTCTTGCCTGGACCTCAGCATGGCCTCTGGAGTGGTCGAGGCATACCGGAGCGGTTGACAAAGGCTTCCCTTGTTGACCGCGGCACATCTAGACTGCCCTGCTGTGCCGATCAGCTGATTGTTGGCACAGCGCGGCAGCCATTTTGATGTAAATGAAACGGTGATTATTTAAATCGCCGCTTCATTTTGCTATGTCTAGTAAACTCATCTACATGGCTCCATCAATGGAGCCGTGTAGTCTAGACACACCCTTACTGTTGATTCACTCATGCACTCGTGCTAACCATTCACACTACCCATGATTTGTGACACAGGTGACAGAGGAAGGCTGGTTCAGTGGTTAGAGAACTGAGCTGGGTTCAGCTCCTTGCTCTGGCCAGGCTCCTGGGAGACTCGGGGTAAGTCACAGGGCTGGGATTCCCAACCCAACACCCCTCAAAGTCAGTCAGTGTCAGACACCTACACAGCTTGGTGAATCCCGTAGTTGGTTTGTGCCTTGGTTTCCCTCACCTATAGCACGGGGCTAATAACCCTGCCCTGCCTCACAGGTGTGTGAGAGGGTCAATACAGTGATGGCCAGGAGGTGCTCACTACAGCAATGGGGGACAGGGTGGCATCATGAGCCTGGTCCGCACCAGGAAACACTGCTGGGGCACTGGAAACCCCCAGTGTGGACACAGCTCTAGCCCCCTATAAGTGCTTCTGCTCCCCTGGCCACTGATGTCAGAGTGAAATAATCCCATTGGCACAGGACAAAGCTGCTGCAGCATTTGCCTGGCACCCACCACCTGACACGGACAGAGATGAAAACTGGCTGAGGAGTTGGGGGGGACAGTAGATCACTGCTCCTGCACCTGAAGCATCACAGCCCGTTAAACAGCTTTTCAGCTACTAAACACATCGCCCCAGTGTCTGAACTTGGCTTTCCTGGGGCGGGCAGGAGGAGACCTGGTTGGCAAAAACCGGCTTTTTTTCAACATGAAATTCTTCCTGGAACCCGCGTTGCATTTCAACTATTCTAGGTGTTGTTGGAATCACCTTCTGCCTCCTGAGCCCTGTGACTGGAACAGGAGCATTTACTTCTCACGTTGGCCCCCTTTAGCCTCTCTTCATATGGGACCTGTTCCAAACCCCTGATCATTTTAGTTGCCCTCCCCCTCCCACCTCCTTTTCCCAGTCTCCCCCCAGTTTTGTTAAATAAAGAGAGTTTTTATTTTTGAACACACGTCTCCTTTATTTTGTACATCAGGAAGGGGGGCTAGGGAAGAGTAAGTGGAAGGAGGTGAGGGAAGAATGGGGTACGAGCCCCCGATGAGGACTGGGGTGGCTCTGCAGGCTCCTTGGAGTGGAAGCTCTCCTGCAGCCCCCCGATTGACACCCCTCCCGAATTGCAGCCTGCGGCAAGTGCAGCCGGGCTGATGGCTGAGTGCTGTGATGTGCCGAGTGTGGGCATTCAGGGCACTCTAAGCCAGGACTGCTTTGCTGTCCCTCATTGAGTTAGACAAGCAAGCGGGGAACCCCTGAGAACTGTCTGTCCGGGGTAGGGGGTGGAGTCCCTTTAAGCACAGCCCTCGGCTAGCCTGAGACAGCAGCTCCACACTCTGGGTACGTCTAGACTACAGGGTTTTGTCGACAGAAGTTTTGTTGACAGAAACTGTCGACAAAGCTTCTGTCAACAAAGAGCGTCTAGACTACATCCAGTTCTGTCAACAAAGCAAGCTGCTTTGTCGACATAACAGTGTGGACGCAAAGGACAGTGTAGATACAATAATGCCTTCTATCGACAGAACTCTGTCAACAAAAGGCGTTATTCCTCGTAGAATGAGGTTTACATACGTCGACAAAACTGCTGAGTTCTGTCGATGTTATGTCGACATAACTCAAAGGCAGTGTGGACGCAGGTATAGTTTTGTCAACAAAAGTCCACTTTTGTTGACAAAAACCTGTAGTCTTGACACACCCTCTAAGTCCTAACCTGATGCCCTGCCAGCACTGCGTCCGGCCATCCTTAACCTTGGTTCAGGGTCCACTCAATGTGGACATGCTAGTTCGAATTAGCAAAATGCTAATTCGAACTAGTTTTTAGGTCTAGATGCGCTAGTTCAAATTAGCTTAGTTTGAATTAACTAATTCAAATTAAGTTAGTTCGAATCAATGCTGTAGTATAGACATACCCGGAAAGAGGATGGGTTCAATAATAGGACGGGGTGAGAACCACTTAAATGAAATGGCTTCCACTTGATGAGCAGTGAGGTTAAGGGAAGCTTATTCCTGCCCTGGCTATGAAACACTCCTGAAAGCAGCTGAGCTGGCACATACAGCAGTAGCTCCATGGTGCTGTGTGCTGCCCCTCATCTACAGGCGCTGAGCCCACAGTTTCCACTAGCCACAGTTCCCCGTTATTGATCACTGGGAGCTGCAGGAGCAGTGTCTGCAGGCCAGGAGAAGACAGCATGTGGAGACCTCCTGCTCTGCCTCTCTCAGAGGCCACAGGGACATGCTGGTGGAATGTCAAAAGTTCTACATTACACTGGCTGTCCCAATGGGAGGTGGGGTGTTCAGCGAGGCACAGCTAAGCCGAGGGTCCTCTTCACACACGGTGTCACTGCAGTGACTCGGGGGGGTCCGTTCCCATCTGCTGTTTCTCTGCAAGTGGGTGTGTGGCCGTGGACGCCCACACTGTGGGGTACGAATGTGCTAGTTCCATTGGGGGCATGTGTGGTTCCCAGCTCAATACATGTGCACATGTTGACCCTGCTGGGGTGAGCCCCTGGCCAATAGCAGGGAGGCCTCAGCAGCAAGGTACCAGCATGGGCTAGACACTAGGGTCCAAACCGGCCCAAACCCAGATACATCCCACGTAGACAGACCCTGGCTCTCAGCTTTTATGTTCTTGTGTGTCGCTTTCTCCCCTTTTCCTTTCACTCCCTTCTGCTACTTTACACCCCCCTGCTCCCCATGGCTTCCTTATGTGGAGTTCCTGCTTCCTCCTCTCCGTATCTTTCTGCAGCTCCTCCCTCCAGCCTCTCCTTTCTCTTCACCTCACCCTGCTCCTGTGCAGCTGCTCTGACATGGGGCACGGCCCTACCACTATCTCCAAAACCAGTCCTGATGAGAACAAAATCCAGAGAGCTCCCAGCAACCACGGCCGCAGCGACTCCTGCACGGGAAATCCAAGAGGAATCCAAATGTCCCATCTGCCTGGAGTATCTCACAGACCCAGTGAGCACAGACTGTGGGCACAGCTTCTGCCGAGGCTGCATCACTCAGCACTGAGACGTGGGCAGAAGGGGTTTATGACTCTTTGTGCTGCCCCAGTTGCAGAGCCCAAATCCGGAAAGGGGCCCTCCGGAGTAACAACCAGCTCGCAAATATTGTGGAAAAACTCAGACAACTGGATTTCAGCCCAGGCAATGAGAATCTGTGTGGGAGACACGGCAGAGCCCTGGATCTGTTCTGCGAAGAGGACTGGGAAGCCGTGTGTGTGCTTTGCTGGAGATCCCCCGAGCACAAATCTCACCTAGTACTGCCCCTGGATCAGGCGCTGCCCCTGGACCAGGCTGCCCAGCCACACAAGGTAGGACCCACTCTGGATGTGGGTTAATTCCATCCTTCCTTTTTCAGACTCAGTCTGTCCAAGCCCCTGAATCTCCCAGTTTCCCACATTCTCTCCCCTGATCTCTGTATCTGTCCCCTGCAAGCTCCTTTCTGTGGGAGGTGCAGGGAACTCTGAGCACTCCTGGCACCCAGCCCCCTGCCGTGCATGCAGGGGCTGGACTTGAAGACCTCTCAGGGCTCCTTCCAGAGCTGTGATTCTACCCCTAGGGAGAGGTGGGCCCCACAGCCCTGCGAGAGGCATTTTCCCCGCACACAGGCTTGAAGCAAGATGTGTCTGTGCTGCTGCCAGGCCGGGAAAGGAGGGAGTGAGCTGCCCCCACCACAGCCCTGACGGCCCAGGCACGGCCCCCAGTAACGACAAACGGCAACAGGGAAACCTCCGGTCAGACAGGTGGCTGGTGACGGACACAGAAACAACGTTCAGAGGCAGCAAAGGGGTCAGGAGGGTGCGCAGGGAGCACCAGGAGGCTCTGAAACTGTTCTGTGAGGTTG